CTCCACGTGAATCCCTAGATAGTATCCATTGTATCAAAGCATCTTCCTGAGTTTGAGATAGCCTGTGGCCATTGGCACGTTGTTCGATTCGAAAATGGTGGCCAGTCAGTCGGTCATGAAGTGTAGATTTAGGCACATTAAAAACCTCCGCTGCACGACGAACACTTGGGATTTCGTTGTTTTTTAAAGCAGAGATCGCGAGTTGGATCCTCCCCTCTTGTTCCACCAAGTCTCGAGACGATAGACGCGATTTTGGTGGCATGGTGGTTGTTTGAATAGCTTCAGTATCCTAAACGCGTGGACTTTGGATGGGGTGTCCGGCTCGGTCGGGTGTCCGGTTCGGTTGGGAATTACGTTAAGGACTACTACTGGCTTAGTCATCAATCATCCCACCCCACACAAAACGGGCATCATCAGAGCAGAGAGGGCAGACACAAGATTAGCACTGTTTATGATACACAGTTCTTTTTCTCTTTGATATATGCTATTGGGAAACTGTCTAGGGGATTTAATTCTTTTTTAATGACGTTATCTTTTTGTTTCTTCCGCGTTTGCACAAGATAACATCTACTCCGATCATTAGTTGCAAATCCGCCAAGGAGGGGAAATTTATATAATTTTTACTTTTACTTCCAAACTTCAATCATTGGCCGGTTAAATAAAGTCCTACATCTATACATATCAAGAACTGCATTATTCATTCCTTTCTTTCTATCTTTCTCTCTTTTCCTCACAGTTTCTTTTTTCACTATAGATTTTATTTTTTCTCATAGTGCCTGCGTTTTCCATCTGATCGTCCCTTTTTTTTTTTAATAAACCTTTTTTCTGCACTCGAGTCTCGACCATGACATCCACATTCAGTTTCGGCTTCTCAGGAGACGACATCGAGACTGGTGTCGATGAGAATGAAAATGAGAACGAGAACGAGACCCAGACCGCTGCTCGCTTGAACAATCTCAGCTTGAAGGATTCGTCCGCGTCGTTGCCGAAGTTGGTCGAGGCGGAGAGGTATCAGTTGGATGATTGGGTATGTAATACGTACATTACATATATACATATCTATCTGTTGATAATTTTTATATATTTCTGTTTATGATGATGATATGGATATTCTTCTCTCTCTCTCTCTTCCTGTTTATGCCTAATTTCCGAAAATACGGCACTTACACGTCTATAGATACACACTCTCCCCTCACAGATATCATACAACAAGCTCAATCTCAATATTCCCACCCAGCCAGAGAGTAGTCTCCGCCTCGGCAGACGCGAAGTCTTCGACATTCGCGCGCAGCTCATGGCGGAAGACGAAGATGAGGCCGATCACGAGGAGCTCATCGCCGGCCTGGAGCAAGGCGATATCAAGCCCTTTTTCTACGAGGGCGGGTTCAAGACCTGGGAGTGTGCGCTCGATCTTGCGAGGTTGATGGCCTCGGGCGAGGAGGTGGATGCTTTGGGATTGTCATTGGCTGGTGATGATGATGAAGAGGACGGGGAGGATGTCCATGTTATTGAGGTGGGTTTTCCTCATCAAAAGAGTATTCTACATTGCATACAATGTTAGAATCCATGCTGACTGCAACAGCTCGGCTGCGGCACCGCAATGCCCTCCCTCGCCATCTTCGCACAACTCCTGGCCCGTCCACCACCGACATCTCCGCCGCGACGCAAGTTCTCTTTCACGCTGGCAGACTACAACGCCACCGTGCTGCGTCTGGTGACGTTGCCGAATCTACTGCTGACCTGGAAATTGAATACTTGCCCAGCCTCCTCAGAAGAAAAAGACGCAGGAAACAATCCACCGGAAACCGAAAACCGACAGACGCACGCAGACGAAAACGAAAAGGATGAAGGAGACCTAGACGTCGATCCGGCCCTTCTAGACGCGTTCCAAAACGACCTCGTCCGGCGGGGGATCTCAGTCGATTTTGTTGCTGGCGGCTGGTCTCCCCGGTTTGTGGATCTGGCTCTGACGTCGCGCGAGCACGCCCTGAAACAGTGCCCCAGTCAGAACAGTACCAGCCAGAATAAAAATATTACCAGCCCCTCTGCGGGGAGTACATGTACATGCACATGCAGCTGCAGGACACTGCTTCTCGCCAGCGAAACGATCTACTCCCCAGCCTCGCTGACCGCATTTTCGGAGACGGTGCTGGAGCTTCTGCGGAGGTCCTGTTCTGCTGGGCCTGGGCCGGGCCCCGCTTGTGTTTCTATTTCTGGGAACAATGACAATGGCAATGGCAATAACAATGGCAATGGCAGTATGAGTAAGAGTAAGAGTATGAGTAAGGCGCTGATTGCGGCTAAAAAGGTCTATTTCGGGGTTGGAGGGGGCATTGATGAGTTTCTGCATGTGCTGTATCAGCGGCCGCAGGAAAATGAAATTGTCAATGTCAAGCAAAGGGTTGATGTCAAGACTGAAGGTGTGGGTAGGGTGATTCTAGAGATTGGACTTGAGAAGACATCCTCTTGACTGCGAGTACCTCTTCTATCCTAATGGAGCATCTCCGTGTATGTAGACGGAACGAGACAATGAAATTGTTAACGACGAGTCTGCCTGACTTGTATGTACAGTACATCCAGCCCACGAAACAAGTCTAGTCATAGATCGAAACCACCTTTCCATCCTTCATCCGAGCCACCCGTTGCTCCTCAATCTCCTTGTTCTTCTGATGATAGTAGGCCGCAACCGCGGACAGATCCGCCTGGGAGCCCGGGGGCACGTTGTAGGGGGAGCCGGCATTGAACAGCCTGCGAAGAGTCAGAAACGCCTTCCTTCACTATCACAATCCCAGGGGAAGGACTTCGTACTCGGGCATCTTCAGGTCAATGTACTCCTTGCCCGGAGCACTGGCGAACAGGTGGCGGTCGACAGCGGCCTTCTCCATGGCCGCCGTTCGGATGGCATTGCGCTCCTCGAAGACCTTCTCCAACGGCGTCCACTTGCGGATGAGGCTGGAGAGCCAGGTCTCGGAGCCGGACTCCTGCGAGGCCTTGTGGATGCGGTACAGGACGTAGCCGGTCGCGAACGTCGTGACGGCAACGTAGAAGCTAGGCTGTGAGAGGCAAGCGTTCGTCAGTCAGAATTGAGCTTCCCAAAGTCCAGACAGACCCATTGGCCTCGTCCATGCGGTGTAGAAAACAGTGTGGCTGGAGATGAGGCAACGTACTCCGAAGGACTCGTTCGCGGGCGCAGCGTGGTGAGCAGCGTGCGAGTCGAAACGGCGAGGCTGCTGGCGCCGCAGCAGCTGCTGCCTTGCGGGAGCCACTGATCGCCTGGCCAGAAACATGGCGGAAGTCGACAATGGCAGAGTGGAAGACAGCCTCCAGCAGTGCTTTCTTTCTTTAATGCTGCTCGACGGAGTTGCTGGAGGGAAGTTCGGATTGCGCCAAGCAGGGCTGCGCACGTGACCGGCGGCCGATTCCGCCAGCCAATCGGCGGCGGACGACAAGCGCGCTTCGCTCTGCGGCCGTCAGGCGACAACTTGGAAGACACACAACTCGCACGCTCCACCGCGCGATGAATCACACCTGCTTGCCTGGCCAACGCCGAGCGCTAATGTACGCTGGCGACGGTGATCCTCCCCGGACCATGCGACGGGACGACCCGCCACCAGTTTGACGCTTTAGCGGCCTCCATTGCCTGGGAGCGCGGCCTGGAGGCTCCATCCCCGCCAGATGCCCCGTCATGGACTTATGCGTCACCCGCCACTTCGCGTTGCTGCGGCAAGCTCGAGATCGTGACTGTTATCGATGGAGCTGCCTTGTCTCCTGCCTTAGCTCCCTCATGCTAATCTAATTTAGTCGCGCCAAAAAGACGGTGGCGGGTTGCTGTGTTGTCGCGCCAAGTCCGCATGGCCTGCCTGCCTGTCGGGCTCTGCTCGGCCCGTCAAGCCTCACCCGCCGCGAGCCCCATCTGACAACTGTCAGTCGTGCCGCCAGTCCTCGCGTGCGGTCATGTCATTGTTGAACAAAAGAAACTTTGGAGGGCATCAAAGAAAGGGGGAAAAAAGAGTTCGACTACCCGAGGTTCGCCACAGTTCGTGGTTTTTACTGATTTACGCACCCGAAACACACCGTTTGCTCCCCTATGCAGGGCATTCGCGTTGTTGCGAACCGGACGACGGGGCTGCTGCCCAGGACACCTGACAAACCACCAATTGATACCCAATCGGTGGCAGGATGCACCACGCACTGGCGATGTTCTTTTTGCAGAAGCAAATCACCGTCGCTTCCGCCCCCTTTGGCTCGCCCGCCTGGGGCCCGCCGTCGGTGACGTGGGAGCTTGTCTGTTGTCGCCCGCTGCCCCATCCCCAACCTCGTCGCTTTCCTGAGTGGGACGCGCATCGCGCAGCGTCAGTGCCTCCAGCATCGCACCTCATTTTCCAGAAATAGCCTATCTGCTCGCCGCTCCGGTCCTATATAATTTTGCTCGCTTTCATTTGCATGTCATGTCCAGCGGCCCAAAGTTGACGTCTTCTGTTTCCTGAATTGTCCGCGTGCTTGCTGTGTCATCGCTTCTTATACCGCTCGTTGTCTTCGTGTATGCTGGCTATTTGTGCGCCCTCTCGCCCACAGGACCAGTCGAAATCCAGTCTTTTCTTTTCTCTCGAACCCGACACACTTTCTGCCTGGTGACGAGAACCTTCCGCATAAAGACGTGCATTGCTTTTGGACCTGAATTGGGTTCATCTCCTACCATCATCCTTTTTCTCTCTCTCTTTCTGGGCAGCGCTGCAAATGGTGGCCCCTGCTACGACCACACGAACCTGATCGCGATCGTTTGATGGCTGAAGCCCTTCTACATCCATAAAACTGTCGGAGGTCCGCTTCAGTTACTGGAAACACGTTGGCAGAGGCCCGGCGATTGTTCTCCCTTCCTTACCCTACCGCAGCCGCAGCCTTTATCAATTCTCTCACCATGGGGCCCAAGAAGAACAAGGGCAAAGATAAGGGGAAGAAGAACAACAAGAAGGGTTCTTCAAAGACCCCCAATGCCCCGGCCGAGCCTGCATCCCCGTCCTTAGATCCACAGCAGCAGCAGGGCTCCATGGATCCGGAACCTCTCACACCCCTCCCCGATTCGGCAGAGGCTGCGCCAGAAGTCGCGGAAATCAGCACTGGTCAGGATGCCCCTCTGTCACCAAAAGACCCTGAGCCAGTCGAATCACATCCTCCCGCCGTGGAGGATGAAACGGCCCAGGCTGAGGTCGCCGAACCAGTGGCCTCCTCCCCCAAAATAGAAGCCTCGCCGGACCCGCTGGTGACGACACACGAACCCCCCGAACAACATATAAGTGATGATCTGGAGAACAAAGATCCGCTCGAGGACACTGCTGCGAAAGCTATCCTCGAAGATCCACCGAACGACCCTCCGGTTGAGGAGCCACAGCTAGACCCGGCCCCTGGGGATGAGCCACAAGTCACAACGCCTGTTGAGGAGCCACAGATCACGACCCCAGTTGAAGAGCAACAACTCACGACCCCAGTCGAAGAGCAACAACAAGATCCGACCACTTTCGAAGAACCCCAGCACGAGGCGGTTACAGTTGAAGAGCCTCAGCAGGACACCCCCACTGTCGAAGAGTTCCACGAGACGGTTACTGCTGAAGAGCCTCAGCAGGACACGCCCGCTGTCGAGGAGCTACAACAAGAGACAACC